TCTCCTCCTCCCGGGGTGCCTCTTCCCCTTTTCGTCGCTCGCCCTCCCGCTGCCTGGGAGTTGGGGCGCCGGTCTCCGCTGTGTGAGAAGTGGCCGACTGCAACGCCCATCGTCCCCGGCCAGCGTGGTTGGCCGGGGAAGACGGACGGGTAGCCCCGCTGGCCTACAGGTCCCGCCCTGGGCAGCTCCCCGCAGCCCAGGCGGTAATAGGTGGGCTTCGGGCTCCTGCTTTTCCCTCCTACTGGAAGGAAGCTGGGGCTGCATTCAGGCAACATGCCTAACCAGGTTAGATGAGGACACGCAGCGTCCAAAACTTGGTTTGTTTTAACTTGGGTTCTTTTCATGCCTTTTTGGGCAAATGCAGCATCTTTGGTTAGTTTGTGGTTCTGCTGAGCCTCAAAATGGGTTAGTTTAGTAACCAGGCTAAATGTGTTGTGTGAACGCAGCCCACATTTTCTGTGGGTGTGTTTAATTAGGGAGCCCAGCCTGCCTGTTCCCACCGTCCTTGAAGCACCTGAGTGCTTCCTTGCTGGCTCTTTGTGGGGTCCTTCTTAGCCCTCTAATGTTTGGGGTTAGGGTTGAGGTGTGAGCTCAGCCATTGTGGTCAGCAATGTTTATGAGGTGTTTTGGGGTGGGGGTGAGCCCAGTTACCCTGGCTTATTCAGTAAACCATATTTAAAATCAAGGTCTGTCTGATGCTGCATCAGGACATATATAGAACTGGGCAGACTTTGTGTAACCAAGGCAGATCATGTTTTCTTCCATATTTGCAGATCAGCTTCTGTTTTAAAGTGCTGTAATTCCCTCCAGTTGACCAGCAAAAGACTTCCTCCCAATACCTGTAGGAGGATCAACCAAAATAGCGTAAGTATGGAAGTTTTCAACCCCTCCCCGCCAAATGGATGCAGCACCAAACAGTGAGATCAGAAGACCAAAAGCTAGAAAGTTAAAATTTAGAATATGGAAGTTGAAGCTGTCAGAGTTTGCCTTCTGTGCTCCCTTGTGGGCCAACAATATGTATTTTTTAAATTCAGTCTTGTAGTAGCGGGATAGGACCTGGCTGGGCAGGGCTTGGTTAGTCCTTGGAGGGGAGGCCACCAGGAAAGGGCCAGTTCTGGAGGCTAGAGTGGGAAATTGAAAATACACAGATACCAACCATTTCCATGCTGCTACCGAGAACACGAAGGGGTCCGTGAGACCTCCAGGAGGTAAACTTTCTATTCCAACACCTTGGGAACCTCTCACCACTGGCTTCCAGAGGCTTATAAGCATCTAAAATTTGGGTGAACTCAGATAGCTGAACTGTGCCTGACCATGTTAGTATTTGGATGGGGGACCACTAGGAATCCCAGATTTGTAGACTAGACTGAGAAGCCCTTCCAAAAAAGAAATTGCCATAACTACGTTGAGCTGTTTTTCCAACTTGCTGTAAACTGTGCCAAAAAGTGGGTAGAATTGGGGCAAGCAAGATTTCCTAGTGAGCGCTTATAAAATCAGGACTGTCAGAAGGAAGGATTTTCGCCTCACCAGATGCCTCCCTGCCCGCCTCCCTTTCAAGTTCCAAAGTTTGCCTAAATTACCTTTTCTTACCTGGGGGTGTTGCTTGGAGGCTGCCCCACTTGCGCTGCCATCTTGGCCATGCCTGGTTTCACTGAAAAGGACCTTTTTTTAGTTTCTTTCCTCCTCCAGTCTGGTGCCAGCCTGAACGAGTTCTGGCTCTGGGAATCGCTGAGTGTGTGCAAAAGATTGTTGGTCCAAAGCAAATCACAGCAGATCAGGGCCCGATAAGGACTGAGCCTTTCTTGGCATCTCCTGAGACTTAACTTTTCAGTCCAGGTAGTCGTACTAATCAATCATGAGTTGTAACAGACATTGCTGCCCTACATTCAGGCATTTCTCTTTATTCTTTTCCATCTGCAGGATAAATATTATGATTATTCGGTGTCGTTTTTCCGCCCGTCTTTCTATGGAACATCAAGGGACTTGGGCTGTGTTGCTGTTGAATAAATTTGACAAATGGGAAACCTTTAGAGAAGCTTGATCCAGCCGATCGATTGATCCTGATATACTTGAATAAGGTAACCATGATTTTTCAAGCTTTGAAAAGGTAGCTCTAGGGAGCCTTGTTATTTAGCTGGGTCTGTGGTGAGATGACATACAGGGATGGGGAAAAAAATATTTGGAGTAATACTAAATTTCATAAGAATCTAAGCCAGTGTTTCTCAACCTTGGCCACTTTAAGATGTGTGGACTTCAACTCCCAGAATTCCCCAGCCAGCCATGCTGG